GAACCAAGGTTTTCACAGCCACAGAATCCAAAGGATAATCCCAAAACCTGCAAGGGACTTACAAAAATAAGCTGCCTTTTTCAATTTGACACAGAATAAAGCTGCAACCTTTTTGAGAACACACTCTTGGCATCACAATTCAAATCTCTCACATCCCTTCAAAGTAAAAGAGAGAGAAAAATGGGGGCTGGAATAAGATGCCAGGACAAGTTACGCTCCTGAGGACAAATTCAAAGCTTTGAACGCGTCTAAAGCTCCGTGCCTCAGCAAACTCAAAGGCAATGTTTACCTTCATTCCCTCCGACTGCTCCCACAAGGCATGAGGCAGCTGTTAGATAAAGCCGAGTAAATATTGGTAAGTGTAGGTGATATAAGGCGACATATTCCCCCGGAGATTGAGCCGCACAGGCTGCAACAGCTGAATTCAAGGCATCTGCATAACGGGGTGTTCTTAATAAGACTGCATGAAAATGAAAGCAAGGCAGGGATATTACTGTTGCTTAAAATATGCAATATTAACTTCAAAGCTCAGGTAGATTTCTATGTTCAAGGAGAGGACAAAATGAATAGCAATTTAAGATATTTTGACCCTCTCCTGGAGAAAAGTACTTTCAGTGTTGATAGTGCATCTTGGAACGGCCATATCTATCATTGACTATCATTTCCAAACAATATGGACAATAGTCATAAATCTTATTCCCAGAAACAGTTATTAATGTGCTGTAAATGGCCTCTTGTTTCGGGCTTTCAAACAGATTACACGCTGTAAAAGCATTTAGAGGTCAGTCACTGATGTTTGGTGATAACGTCTGGCTGAGAGTTGGTTTTCCACTTCATCCCAAAGTATTGGGCTGGAGGTCAGGGCTGAGTGCCAGTCAGTCAACTTCTTCCACATCAAATTGGGAATTGGGAAATCCATTTGTTTTGAGGGAGTGGAACCTTTTGAGTGTAATTTGGCTCACATGCTGAATGATCAACACTGAGGAATCCTAAACTAACAACATATAGATTGCATTGTGAGCAGTTGCTCGGCTCAAAGCACTACTGACATCCTTTCTACAAAATGGCATTGGATAGTTGTTTAAACATAAAACTTTTGTATATTTTTACCAGTTTCAATTACCAGGTTCAGAGGAACATCAATAATTCTCAAAACAGTTAAACCTTATTAAAGAACCCTTCCCAAAAACTGAGCTCAAGTCATTTGCTGTAGCTCAGCTCGCAGCCCCTACTGACAGCAATGTGTTGCAGATTTGGCATTTGATTGTATAACTTTCAATGAAGTAATGACTACCTCTGCTTATTTCCCACATAAAAATGGAAGAGGTTCACAATCTGTGCAGGTCCAGCTTGTAATCACGATCCAACAAACTGAGAAATTTGATAGAGTTCTCTGGGTAAAACCCAGCTTCTCAGTGTAATCAGATATGTTTGATTACATGTCTTACAGCCAAATGATCCACCCTGGCACATTGACAGGTTTACACAATTCTGTCCAATAAATAAGCAATGTGTGAATTCATGTGGTTGCTGTTTGGAGGACTCAAACAAAAACGGAGCAGTTCAAGGCCCCTGGAGGAGACGTGTGTACTTTGTTTGGATATTTAGTTTTATGTCTTACTAATGGAGGAACAACATGTTACCAGAGCAACTGCACCTACTAAACCCGTATGTGCACGTGAACTATTTGTCCTCCTTCATCCTTGGTGTTGTTGCTGTTGTTCCTGCACCATGTGGAGCTGTTTGTTCCTGTTTCTACATCCAGCCAAAGACACCAACTACCCAACATGGTAAGTTGGTGTCAGCCAAGGAAAATCTAGTGCTGTAAAGGCTCCAGGTGTACTTTGTGTCCCCTACTTTACCTTAATTTAAGTAAACAAGTATGAGAGACACAACCCTGAAGCACAAAATGAATCAACATGATAAAAGTGTAAAATAGTTGGAGTATATATTTTCTACCAGTTAGGTTGGAGGACAAAGATTGTGGAAAGTAATTGTGCTTCTAATGCTGGGAAATCCAGCCTCAGGGCGCGGTCACACTGGCCATCCGTACCGTGCCCAAGCACGCTTCAACCCTGACGTCCAGTTCGTTTGGCCAGTGTGACGGCTCCGTGCCGTGCTCAGGCACGGTACGCTTGAGTACGGCACGGTAGAGATGACCGCGCCCTAAGTCTGCATACAACTATCGTGAGCCTACATTTCCCATGATGCAACAGACCATTATTTCTGGTTAGATCCTCCATTTATAGCTCCGAGTATAATTCCCCAAAATGTAATCATCAGAAGATGAATGTGACCTGTGCAAAGCAAATCCACCAACTGCAAAGAATTCATCAACAATAAAAACAACAGATAACTGTTCTTCCTTCACATCACCGAACGTAACCCCAGCGTGGTGCAAACATGCGCAGAGAGAGAATACATTTATTCCACCCAGAGAGAAACCATCAGATTAAACATTTATGTGGTTATTAGGCACTAATACTTTCCTGTTGGATGGATTATCTGAGGTTTACTTCAACCCTTCCTAAACCTTGTTATTAATCCCTTCCTATCGAGCCAGTCTCTGGTATAAGGTGGTGACATGATTGCATTTTATTCTCATTAGTTTATTAGGTGGATGTTTAGTGAGATATTAGGGCCCTTGTAAACACGCTCAGGTCTCTTAAACGTGCTTATCTTACAGACTCCATGTTGTTGTGATACACTAAAGGGTGCACAATAAGATGACGAGGAAGCTCTCCTCAACGATGAGTGGATTTTACTCATCGAGCCCCTTTTACAATCCCTTTATGTGTTTTTTAATGTTTCATTTATGTGACCCCCTCCCCGCCCAACCTTTAACCCTGCTACCAGGTGGGGTAAGAGACATTGCCCCTTCCACTCAGGGACGCTATATGTATAGAGATTCATTGCAAGAGTACAATTCGAGGACAACCAACAAACTTTCCAAACCGAAGAAAATATTTATTTTGGTCTCAAATACTTAAAAAGAAAAAAGAACTGAATCAACTTTGGGCTCTATAGAATGGAGATCAGTCATAGAAACAGTTGCACTCAGTTTGAAAGACTTCAGCGCTGTGACAAAGCTGCACTATGAATTCAAGTTGCATTTCATTTGGGGAAGCTTGAGAGCACAGCACAGCAGGAGCTCCAAACACAAACACACCCAGAAATGCACATACACACTAAGCTGTGCTCCACTGACTCTGCCACTTTAACGCCTCTGCTACCTCAGAAGACGGTACAGATCACTCGTCCCCTCCACCACATTCATATTAAAGGTGAAACATCACAGGTAGGTTAATATCACACCTTGAACAAGCAGTCTGAATAGGGCTCAAGGGAGGAGGGGAAGCAGTGTGCTGAAGGGAAAGCTTTGTCTTGGTTTGAGAGACTGGTGCTAAAGAGAGACATCTTCTCTGAAAGTCATAAATTATAACTTTAATTGGAACAAATCTGGAGTCATGAATTGTTCCAGCAATGACAGAACACAACACACATTGCATAAGAGCAGAAGAACTAGAGATATATACAGATCCTGTAGCTAATTGTTTGCCCCCAGGCCTCCTGAGCCGGTTTGTCCAGCCACGAATACAATCATTAACTTCCTTGTTTGGTCCAAAAGACACAGAAACACCCAAAGCCGTTCAGTCAACAACTACACAAAACAGAAAGGCAGATTTGTTTCTAAATGATCAAAGACTAATGGCCATGATTGCCTTGCCGTGTTGCTGTATACAAATCACAAGTCCACAGTAGATATGATGCTTAAATCAGCTGCAGTGACACTGAACAGGAAACAAAGCGGACAATGGGTGATGATAAGTTGCAATGCACACGGCACACACAGAAATAACCAGCCAATCATCTCCTTTAAGTCATCATCAAAAAAGACTGCAGGAAGTGATTTTATAGACCAGAGAAAACCGCTCACAAAGCCATAAAGGTTTACTGCTCACAGAAGAAGAAATCAAACAGATCCGAACGCAGTAATCCTGCAGGCATTTAAATTAGGCAAGAATAAAAGAGCTGACACATTCTGACTGTAAGATGAAGTCCAAGCAGTGAATTAAAAAAAAAGATGGACTATAAGGTTTGTCAAATTCATGAACGGTGGAGAAGACATGCATAAAAACCAGTGAAAGAACAAACCTTAAATGTCTAGTTCTGTGACAAATCACTGATATCCTTTTTCTCTCTCAATTTTTTGCATTTCACAGCCTGCTTACAACTTTGCATATGAAAGAACACCAGCCAGAGAGTAAACAAGCCACTTTGCATCGTATTAACGCCCTGCATGTTCACTCCAAATGTGGTTTGAGGTCAAAGAAATCAGCTTTTTAAAGAAAAAAAACACATGTTAATGGAAGGAGGTGGCTGGAAGTGCACTCTGAGTGTCTCTCAAGCACAAAAAGGCACTTATTTCTGATGATGAGAATGTAGAGGTGGGCTTTTCCTGCATTTTAACCACACTTCTATTTTACTGTAACAATGGGTGACAATGATATTAGAGCAGCAAGCAGGAACTCCCAACTGTAAGCTGTCTGACGAGGGAGCAGGACTTAAGATAACAACACAAAGGGCGTCTGATAGAGAACCAACAAAGGGAATCGATCAGATGGATCAATTTGAAGATGTGCAGCATTGAAGAGAAACAGAAAAGACAAAGTACCGATAGGGAAGAAATTAAATATAAGTTCGTAAAATCATTAAAAACGCAGATGTACTACATAATAAAACGCTCAAAATGTATTCGAATTCAGTTCAAAAGACCTGATTAAAGAGGTAAAAACACACCTGGACACGATGCACATGTAAAAGTGTGCAGACAATAGTCCCGTGAGAAGGGATGCTGCCCTCACCTTTCACGACAAAACAAAGCAATCCTGCCCTCGGAAATAACTTTGTTGTGTTTCCTGCACGCTCTGCAGATCTCCAACCAGACTCCGTTCAATAAATCACTCGTTGTAAGACACTGTGAGAAATCCGGAGCTTACCTTTTGTTAGTTCCAGTGCAGCAGCAGCAGCAGCAGCAGTCCTGTCTGTGTCTGTGTCTGTGTGCTCTCCTCCGGCTCCTCCACACATTTAATCGGGTCACAGCAGAAGTGATTGCGAAATTGTTGATGCGCGCTTCGCCTTGTTTGGTGGGCGGCGTGCTCGCTGTTTTCTTCCTGCGTTTCAAACCAGCGAAAACACACACACACACATACACACACACTCACACACACACACACACACAATCCTCCTCCCACTGCTCGCTCCGTCCTGACCCAGCCTCTTTCTCTCTCTCTCTCTCTCTCTCCTCTCTCAAAGCGGATACGCCCTCTCACTGTAAAGAAAAATGTCATTCACACATAACAGGCTTCAGAGTGAGAATCAAACCGTGTCACCACCACAGGCTGGGCTGGCTGATGTGATGTGATGTCTGGCCGGCTGTGAGCAGCTCGAGCAGGCAGTAGGGAGTCCTGCTGCACCGCTGCGCTCCGCTGGATTTGGTGGCTCCGGCTGCACTGTAAAAAATGTCTAACCTGAGCTGACTTTGTGGACTGTGACACAGTTTTACAGCCAGGATAGGGGCGTGTGCAGAGGGGGCACAGTCTGACCTGTTTCTCCATGCACCTATTTGTGCAACTGTGATTAGCCTCATTAGACACTTGCAGGCTTTGTGTTCTTATTCAGCCCAGCAGATTCCCTCCTGTTTTCACATGTTTCCCCTCTGGTTGACCCAATTTCTCCATGTTTGGGCCAAAACGTCTTTCTAATTACCCACATGTCCTCCTGTGATCTAACTGTCCATCTGATTCATCTGAGAGTCACTCATTTAACCAAAATACCCCTCCTGTGACCTCTTTAGCATCACTGAAATGCTTGTGGTTTGTAGCAATGTCCTTCTGATCAGCCTTGATCTTTTATTTTAAAAAAAATTCAGAATCTGACAGGGCAGGATGGAATTTTGGTATTTGTATGTTTGGTTTCTGACTGAAGTACAAAGAGTCATTTAGGGGCCTTGGCTGCATGCGATGTGGCAGAGGGAAAAGGTGCGTAAAGAAATCTGCCTTGATGCAATCTTGGAACCATTCAGCTGTACAGAAGCCCTAAGCGGACATGCATCAGTACATTTTCTCTCTTTTTTTAGAGCTTGAATCGTTTATCTCATTATAACAGGAAAATAACGCTATTTTCTCTGTGATAACGAGTTGATTTCAGCCCTTTTCTCAAGATCTCAAGAAAGTAAGTCATCACAAAAAAGGATATCAACAACTCTTTAGTTAACAAATGCATTTTTTTCTAACAGGAAATCTTCTAGCTAAAGGGAGTCTTGTCCAAAAGTGTATCATGGCTAGTCACTGGCTACACTGGAGGCCCTGAAAAGTTTGCAGTCACTCCCAGAGGCTATATGGTCAGATAATAGTGTTCCCATCTTGGGCCAGCACAAACTTTGTCCTCATCATTTTCGTTTTGACAAACTTCCTTCCTCGGTTCATTTGCCCTTAAAGTCACCTAACAAGTGCTTTTACAGTCAACAAGTTGCCCCTCTGGTCTAGTTCATCCAAGTTCCTGTCCATTAATAATAATATAAGCAGGTGAAACAGATACTCATAAGGTACTCACGATTTTAAGTCAAGGAACCAACATTTTTGATCAGATTATTTGGCACAAAGCAATTTCTGATGTGTTGCCACGATATGTTTTGGACCCTTTACTGATATAATATTCTATCTGGTAAGAAAAAGCAAATGCACTCATTTCCAGTGCCCAAGGTGATTTTGTGGCTTAAATGCATTTCCAATGAAGCAGAAATCTATAAAAGAATATCAAAGAAAACATGTATCCCAGCTTCATCTTGTTAGCAAAGCATGCAGATCTAAAAGGAGCTCAATACTGACCTTTACAGATAGATTTTTCCAGTGTGTGTTTCCTTAGTGAGAATTCAACTTACGACAGATTTGCCATATTTGGGCTGATTATCGCTCAACCATAATACTCTTCCTTTTTCTGTCCCGTGGTGTATAAACTCCTCCCTTTGAGACATAAAGCTCAGGGATGCACTTTAATATAACAGACTAGACCAGAGTAGATTATTGCCATATCCTTAAATCCTCAAATGAATAAAAAATAGCATATTTTATGACAAAGTCTGTATCACTTCTCTCCTGAGCTCTACAGAAACATACTCACGGCTCCCCTGAGAGTATTTCAGGAGGATCATAACGATCTCCTGCCCGTGAAGGAGCTCCGATTCTCTCTAAAAATGATTTCACCGCCACCAGAGCGAACACTATAATTAAATGTGGTGACCAGAGTATAATTAAAAGCAGTGGCAATTAAATTTTGCAGGAATACGGCTGCGAAGTCTCACAGTTTTGGGTTAAATTATTGATGGGAACCCTGAGGATGCGTTTAACAAGATACTATATTTATCTATGTGTGTGTTAGTGTGTATGTGTTTGAATATCTTAGAAGCCACCTGTGCTGCAGGCCCGAGCCTCAGTGCCTATGGAGTCCACTGACAGTATCGCTGCAGTGTTAGTGCTCTTTGATATATTTGCTTTAATTATTGAGGATAATGAATTTAAATTTGTGATGCATCAAGGCGCTGAAATGGCAACTCGCCCCTGGAGGCCGCAAATGCCTGATACCACTCCAGGCTTCTCCAGGGGAGTTTGGGAAATCTTACGAGATTGAGACGATGGAAATAGATTAGCCTCTGAAATGCTAATGTTGACTTTTGGCGTCTGAATCTTGCTTCAGTAACAGTATGTTGTATTTACAGCACTTTTTCGACGGAGAATAACGCTAACCCTTGGCTAATGCTATAAATGTTGCTCCTCAATCACAAAATGATCAATCATGCAGCTGTAATATAAAATCAAGCAAATTAACAAACCTTGTTTAAGTCAGACAAGGGTACACGGAGCATCTGGTCAATTTCATAAACAAACACAATGTACAGACTCCTTATTCTTAACTTAAAGACAGGGGTGTCTCAAGGGTCAGTGCTCTGCCCCCTTCTCTTCTCCATATACAGCACTTCACTTGGTGCAACAATCAGCTCTCAGGGCTTCTCATACCACTGCTATGCTGACAATACCCAGCTCTTCCTGTCATTCCGCCAGACAACGTTACAGTCTCAGCATGGCTTGCAGATATTTCTAAATGAATGAACTAATGTCACCTTCAGCTCAACCTTTCGAAGACTGAGCTCCTTGTCATCCCAGCTCATACCAGTCCCTCTACCACAGATGATCAATGTCCAGCTTGGCACAACCAAACTCATACCAACAAAGTCTGCCCGGAAACCTGAGTCTCATGATTGATGACCATTGATACGTTTTGGCTTAAATTTTGTCTTTTTCTTTGAATATTATTTGCGGAGAGTAACGCTAATCTCAAAACTATCATTTAGTTAAATATTTTATATTCTATATTTATTACATAACACAAACAACAGATTGTGCTGTGTGTGGAAACATATAAATGTAGAAGAAAATCACACAAAATGAGAGCCATAACTTCAGTGTGTTTGTTTGAATATTGTCTGGCTGTGTGACGCCAAATTTAAGCGAATGTTCTTTCTTGTTTATTCTGTTCTTAGCTCACAAAAACAAATTGTGCTTCTCAGAACATTTTCTCCTCAAACAAATAAGACAGTCAGCAACTTCAATCTGCCTCAATTTCTCACCTTTTGTCCTACAAATACAATAATCCGAAGGCACAAGTTCTGCTCTCCGTCAACATCCATATCCGCGTCGTTCGCCCACGTGCAGCTGAGCCGACGGCAATTAATTAAAGCAACGACATGCACGGCCTGTCAGAGCTGCCAGTCATCAGAACGCTGTGACAATGATCTGACCATCACCGGCTTAATTGGCATTCGGAGGACACTCTCTCCTCCTCACTGTAGGCTAAATAAACACACAGACGGGCAGGATGCAACCTTCACTCCTCATTTCTCTTGATCAATAAACCTCCGACACCACCTCTGACAGCGAGACACAGCTGCAGGAGAGTTTTTAAATTCAGCAGAAGGTATGTATTTTTAGACACAAACACGGAAATAATTAAAAATCTCTTCTAGTTTAAAAGTTTGAATTCAAAGAGTTTGAACCCTGTTTCCAGTTTGAAGGTATTTTAGCGTGTGATTTTAACATTTTGCTTGAATATGTGGGAGAACTGGGTCCTTCTTGGATGCTAATCTTACAGCTAATGCTTGGAGCGCCCGTGACTGTGTGTGCATATGGGTGACCAAATGAAATAAGTTGGAAAAAATGGATTTGAGGACAAACAGAGTTCTCTCTGTTGCTTTACTCCAAGACGAGGAGGGGGAAAGCCTCCTACTGTCATTGATTTGATTGGCTGCTTTGGCCAAAAATGACACTGACATGCACTTTAACATGTGCATCATGAGCTGAGAAGTTGAAAATGCTTTAACTTTTATGCTCGCCCCAAAAACTGCTTGAAAAATGTGTCCTGCTGCAGCAGAGAAAAGCGCACTGTACCATAGGAAAACAACTGTTTTGCTGGCGATGCTTTCCTAGCAACGCGTCTTGGTGATCGGTTCCTTAGTGGTGTGGCTAAGTTGACAGGTTGGCTGTTGTAGCTGTTTGCCAGGAGGCTTAAGTCCCACCTCAGCTCCAACTGTCTGTTTCTAGATTGGTAGTTAGTGGGAGTCAGCATTTCCAATATGGCGGCCGCCATCATTGGGCTTCAAAACCCCCGTCCAGAAACCAATGGGTATGACATTACTGAGACTACATTCTTGTACTATGAAGGCTATGGGGGTCATTAAGGCCTTGACGTTAGCTAGGTCAAACTGTGTGCCAACAGTGGAGGTTTATTATTAAACCAATTAACACAACACTTTACACTAAGCTCCTACAGAAGCGCCCTTTTTTGACGATGATGACAGTTTTAGATGGGGGACATTTTTTCTGGTCACAGAAAGAGAGGAAGTGAGTAATCATGAGTCAGCATAATGCAAAGCCCCCCTGGATGTTGATTGAATTCATTTTGGGAAATGACAAAACCAATTGTCTTTATAAGCAGACATTTTTTCAGTGGATCTCTGCTTTCAGAATCTGCCCATTGACTGGTGAGCTGATCAGACTGGACAATAAAAGGAGTCAGACACCTGTTGTGCAAATTGTATTATAAAGTTGTAGAGTTGCAGAGTTTGAAAGCTGAGTGTGTGACTGATGTGTAATTTTCTCCATTAAGCAAACTGTTGAAAAACAGGAGTAACATCACCAACCGAGGCTCTGATAGTTATGAATAAAATAAAACTGATTGAACGTGTTTTGTTTCTGAATCAAAGAATCCCTAAACTTTGTATGCTTTCCTTTTTTTTTTTTACATAAAATCAGGAAAGCTGACATCCAAATGATCGTCCTGAAGTCGCATAATTCTGACCAACTTTTTAACAAGTTCAGCTCTAAATCCATTCTCACAATGAACTCATCAAATATGGCACCTTGTTAACACTAGAAAGACCAAGGCAGTCATTTTGACTGTTTTTTGATTTTGCAATGTAA